TACAAACGTGTGCACCAGCACCAGAAGTACAGTAGATAAAGTCTCCTCTGCAGGTGCTTTCATGGGTAGTCGTGGAACTCGTTGTACGCTCACAAATGGAGGTGACAGCAGATGGATCTCTTACGCGTGATCTGCTGGGTTGACGTCACTCACCCGTTGGCTGCCGCAGCTACATACAGATGCACACACAGGGAGAGATGCACACACACAGCTCTGTCAGCTACAAACGTGTGCACCTCCATCAGCAGTACCTGTGAATGTGTGTGCCTATGATGCGTGGTCGTACGTGCGAGCCGTTGTACGCTATACTGCTGTGCATGTAGTCACACAGCAGTCTACTGCTGTTTGTTGGCCATGGTTTGGCTAGTCCACCGCACGTGTAGTCGTATGCTAGGTCAAACTACCCCCCCCTCGAGCCAGCGCGTGGTTTGCTGGGTTCACCACACGGGTGGTATGCTTGGTCCACCGCACGCGTTGTCTGCTGGGTCACCATACGAGTGCCGGGGGGGGGTAACCCCCCCCTCGGACCCCCCCCCTCGAGCCAGCGCGTGGTCTGCTAAGTCGTAATATATGTACTGTATTTTTAACAAGTATCTCTTTCGTCCTGTTTTGTTGAGCTTCGCTGGGCTGTTGGACTCTAGGGATGTCAGCTGTGTTGGCTATTGAGCTTGGGAAATACCGCAGATGGCAGCCAGCTCTGGGGTGGTCCTGGTGGTTACTATTTTCATCTCGCATCAACACGCTGCTACACGATGCATGTTTTTTGTATGAAGAATAACGACACGGCGGGCCACAAACCCGTCATCGTGTGCATGATGCTGCTACTGCATTCAGCGTGCTACTACCATCGGGTGCACCCGCCATATGCCCTCTCCGAAACTCCGATAAGTTTATTGTTGTGTCCACTGGCCCCCCAAGGGCTATGCTGACATCTCTCACTCACATAGTAGCACTTTTAGTGTTCGACTTTGTCTGCGACACCCGCCGTTCATATCCTGTGTTCGAAATCATGTAAGGAAGCTAATGCATTCCCGGCAAGTGCTGGCAATTCCGGCTTCAAAAATTCATCTTCGTCTAGAGTTGCACCACTCCGTGTTTTGCAACTAACGGCCATGCTGTTTACTTTTCCTGCATGACGATGTTTTCGCGGAATGATGATTGTCGAAGATTTACTATGAATGCCAAATAGGAGATTTGGGGTTTCGACCCCCCGATCTTGCGGTCATTTTTCTCTTGGAGGTGTGGGTCGTAACTCAAGCACGCTACGATGTAAGCTTGCCGCACACGCGCACTCTTGTGGATGGGCGCGAGAGCTGCGCTGCGGCGGGGCCGATTTGGCTAGTAGACGGAGATTTCAACTTCCATTTCTCGCCGTAGAACTGCACGGTGTACGACACCAGATAACACCCCCCTGGCCTGATTTTCAAAGCTCGATCACTCCACGACGCAGAGGGAGCACAAAGGAAACGATACGTTTTCAGAGTGCTCTCGACCAGGCAGCTTCAACGCCGCCGTTGCGGCGCTGCGACTCATTCTGCTGTTGATAAATCCAGCTTTGAAATCGGTCCAGGGTGTGTGTGTGTGTTGTGTGTTTTCGTCCTATTTATGATGGCGACAGTCCCCCCATTTTTCGTGGTGAGACGTGTACAACACTTTTTCAGCGTACGTAGAGGACTGCACTTTTCAGTGTAATTTTTCGTACAACTACAACCATCCAGGGTCACGCAGGAGTGGGTAAAAACACTAGGGCTTTTTTCTCGTTATTTATTTTCATGCCCCACCTTCCTCCTGTGGTGCGTGCTGGGGGTGTGGTGTCTTGTGTCGTTTGCCGTATTTAAGTACGAAGCACACCAATATGTTTCTGCGAGGAGGAAAGCCCACACGCGTTTTGCCTGCGGGGAGTCGCGGAGTTCTAAACTAAACAAAAGCGGATCGTAGAAACACGGTAGCTGTCCTCTACCCCTATGAGTTTTTTCGAATCTAGTCCCGAAGTCGTACGTGGACAAGCAAGAGATGGATGGTTGCGTTTTGAAAACATCGAAAAATCGTACTTGTAGGAAAAAACCAGTTTTGGCCAAGAACCCCCCGCCCCGCCCCCCCCGTTTTTTTTTGGCATCGGCGTTGGGTTTTCGTCGCTTGGCAACGACGTTGTAAAACAAGCCGCCCCCCCCGGTGTTTGCCATCGGGATTGGGTTTTCGTCCCTTGGCAAAGACGTTGTAAATCAAGCCAATTCACTTCGTGAACTCGGCAACCAGGTTACCGTTTGTTTTTTTTACCTCCGTTTTTTTTTTGGCGGTAACCACAATGGTGCTCGAGTAGATCATGTTGTGCGGGGTGGATAACCCTCGCTCCGCGCAAGGGGGATGATCGCACCACGTTGTGTTAAAATGGTCAAGCACCCTCGAGGCAGTTACACAGTGCTTACAACTGTCTCTGGAAGTGAAAGCACCAGAAAATAAATTAATTCATACGCAGCTGTCATCCGTACGCAAGGAAGTAAGCACAAGATGCCGAACACCCTTAGCAGGATGCAGCGCACCCTTCATGCGACTCGCCGAATATCTCACGGCGCTTCGCGCTTGGTGATGTGAGAGCCTGGTCCGGTGAGAACCCGGCGTGCTCCGTCCCGGCTTTGTAGGGATGCGAGGTCAATGGTCTAACGACTACGGCATGCACGACTATGAGTACACCCCCCCTCCCCCCCCCGCCCTCACTAAGCAACTCCCTCCCCCCACCCACTCTCCCCGCGTTACCTACTCACCGTTCAGCGGAGATATTCCGACGGAGGGGGCCTCGCGCGCCTCACGCTCCGAGCCACCAACGAGTACGGGGAGTACGACGGCGAGGCTCTGGCGCTATACGGCCTTGAGATGGTGGTGGAGCCCCACCGGGCGACCAGAATAACGGTCTCCAGCCGCCTCCCGTTGTCGGAGATCTCGGAGAAGTCGGAGAAATCTCCGTCGCCTTCGCCGCCGTCATCTTCGTCGTCCCGGCGGCGATACTACTGGCTGCTGGTGCGGGCGGACAGCTCGGGGGCCGCGCTGGACGACGTGACCCCCCTGGTTGACGCCAGGGGGTACGACCGTTTCGTAACGGTTACGCTGACGGACGCCGGCGAAAAGTACGCGCTGCTGGTGCAACAGGTCGAGGGGGACGACGGGACGGTGGTCGCCGAGCAGCGAGTCACGATCTCGTGCAAGTACGTACGCCGGGAGCTGAGGGGCTTGACGATTGCGGATCGAACCGGGTTCTTCGCGGCAATGCGGGAGTTCTACACGGTCTCGCTGGAGGAGGGGAGGGCCTTGTACGGGGATGGCTTCTACGACGCCAAGCTCATGGCCGCGTACCACAACACGAGGGTGAGAGGGAGGGGCTTCCGGGATGCACATAAGTGTGTTTTGTCCTCTACCTGGTTGGTAGAGAAGAAGTCATCGAGAAATTCTTTCGCGTACAGACGACGACGACGACGACGACGACGACGACGACAACAACTATAGCGCATTCCACCCTGGTCTGGTAGTGTTAATTTTGTCCTCTCGATGTTCTCTTCTGTCTGCGGTCCGTGTCTGGTATTGTCTCCACCTGAACTGCTACATCCACGACGGGATTACTCATGAAGCACCGCCACGTCTACGCCCAAGACTTACACGTGCTTTTTCGTATCTCTTGTCTGTCTTTCTCGTGTCTGGTGTGTCTCACCCAGGACTACTGCTTCCACAACGGGATGCACTTCCTGAACGCTCACGCCGCCTTCGACCTTTGGGTCGAGAGCAACCTTCAGAAGATCGACCCAAAGGTGTCTCTCCCCCAATGGGACTACATGCTGGAAGCCGCCCACCTCGGGACCGAGTGAGTTGGTCTTACCAGAATCCAAACAAGATAGGCACACCCAATTAAGACAATCACACCCAATTCAAGACAAAGGTGTCGCTACCCCAATGGGAAAACGTGCTGGACGCCGCACACCTCGGGACCGAGTGAGCTGGCTTTACCGTATTCCACACAAGATATGTACACCCCATTGAGACACCACATGTACGCGACGATATAACAACATAGCCGGCGATTTATTGTTGCTTGTCCAGTGGACGTTGAAACATGGAAAAAGCGCTAAGCTCACCGATCGAGGCAGACACACCTCCTGCGCCGAAAGGACTCTGGAAGGAGTCGAGGGCTAGCCTATATAACACAAGATAACACACCCCCTGGCACGATTTCCAAAGCCCGATTACTCCACGACGAAGGGAATGCATAAGCGAAAAGATAAATCTTCGAAAAGCTCTCGACGACAAGGTTCCAACGCCGCCGTTTTCGGCGCTCTGACTCTTCCTGCTGTTGCGAAATCGAGCTCTGAAAATCGGTCAAGGGGGTGTGTTATCTTGTGTCATATACGGTGCTGTGACTGTTCCTGTTGATGAGAAATTGAGCTTTGAAAATCGGTCATGGGGGTGTGTCATCTTGTTTCATTTTAGATGCTGTGACTCTTCCTGTTGATGAGAAATTGAGCTTTGAAAATCGGTCAAGGGGGTGTGTTATCTTGTGTCATATACGGTGCTATGACTCGTCCTGTTGATGAGGAATTGAGCTGTGAAAATCGGTCAAGGGGGTGTGTTATCTTGTGTCATATACGGTGCTGTGACTGTTCCTGTTGATGAGAAATTGAGCTTTGAAAATCGGCCATGGGGGTGTGTTATCTTGTTTCATATTAGATGCTGACTCTTCCTGTTGATGATAAATTGAGCTTTGAAAATCGGTCATGGGGGTGTGTTATCTTGTGTCATATACGGTGCTATGACTCTTCCTGTTGATGAGAAATTGAGCTGTGAAAATCGGTCAAGGGGGTGTGTCATCTTGTGTCATTCACGGTACTCGAGACTGACAAAAAATGGCAGAACCTTTCCACTTTTGACCGTACACGCACGTGCTCACCATGCAGGTGGGGGGACAGCGAGATCTTCGGCCCGGACATGTTCGGATCGGCGTTGGGATCTCCGGATAACCAGTTCCAGATCTCCGACGGCTGGTTCTCCAACATCTCGTCCGTGTACGACCCGGCCGGTGACCTGCTGAGCGCGGAGGCGGACATCAGCACGAATCATAATCCTTACGGCTTCGTCGGCAGCACGTACAACTACCAGGTGCCGGCCAGTAATGACCAATCATGTGTTTTTGATTATTTAGTTGGGTCTTTTACAGCTCTCTCTAGTGCCAGTGTGTCCTCTCCAACCAATACCAAGGATAAGAAAGTAAAAAGGAGTGCAAATATATAGAAGTACTTAATATAGAAGTATTATTTTTGTTGTGAAAAGCGGGAATCGTTTTAGTCAGACGTTGGGAAGGTTAGGATGGTTCGGCATTGTGAGCGCATTATTCGCGGGTATCACAATTCAGGGTTCTGACTACATGCACCTGTCGAGTACGGCTGTGTACGTTTGGACATATCCGATCATTATATGGGATCTGCCCTCAAGAGTCGTGACGCCGACTCTTCGGGTGACTTTGTTCGAGAGGCCTGAAGGCTTCAGTCAACGCCGGCAAGATGATACTGCTGTATCTAGTTTTCTATAATAGGCGATAACTATGTAGTTTTCTGTAAAACTTCTTGGAGTGAAAGTAGGGAGACACCCACGTCCGTTCTTTTTGCCGACTACATGCGACCACCAATTGCCGAAAAGTCGTAGCAATCGTTCTACAAGATCCAAGTGATCTACCGGTATTAGAATGTTTACAATGTAGAGGCACCCTCGACCGAACCCTTCGTATCTGATTGACAAACTTGCTCGTTGCACGACCACTTGCTTCGTCGGATTTCTCAGTCAATCCCAGGCGTTTCGCGCACGAGCTCGTACTGCGGGCTGCAGGGCGTGTCCGAGTTCAGCAAGTGCGAAGTCTTCGTGGGCTGTTTCGAGGACAACAACAGCTTGTACGAGTGGGCCGTCTGCATGGAGCATTCGGTAAGTGTTGTGAATTTCCGTCACCAAAACCAACTCTGGGAAGGTGTCTCCGTACATTAGAATGAAGTGAACTATCAACACCCCTTTTTCGACAACAGCAGCTTGTACGGCTGGGCCATCTGCATGCGACGAGGGAGTGTTGTGAGTTGTCCTCGCCAAAACCGGAGAAGCTTTCTGTCACTTAAGTGAACATTTGGTGTCTGCTTTCAAGGGAATGGATGTATGCATGGTATCATACTGTACACGCTTCCCCCTCATCTTCACCTCATATGTGTTCGCTATATTCGTTTTGAGAGTATCTCCCCTGCGCTGCATCAGAGTCCATTTTACTTTTTTTCTAGATGCCTCAGTTTTTCCCTGGCGCAATACCGCCGATGCCCCGAATGTTCCAGGAAATTTCCGCAGCTCCGAAACATCCTCTTGCCAGGCTCGGTTGTGGCCCAGGACCTTGAGTGTTCGATGAAGAATTGCGACTTTCCTATCTATGTCGCGCTCTGACTTGGGTGCTCGACTAACGCAGCGGTGTCCCAATCCGTGCCGTTGTTGTCGCTGGCCGTGGGTTTCGTGATGTCCTCGGCAGGTGCACGCCTCGATGCATGGCATGATCGGGGGCGGCTTCAACTGCAACGTGAGTGTTGATGCTGCAGTTTCATGTGTAGACGGCTGGTTGCGAATGTTGATGGCGTAGACATACCCAGACTGCTACGAAGGGGGAGCTTACGCAGGTGCATGCAGCAGTAGACTGCAAGATAGCGTGATCGTTGATAGCACCCTAAATCATGCGTGGATGTATCCGGGGTAGATCCACGGTTTTATTACGGAGTCCGTTGGCTCTGGTGTTGGAACCATATTCCTTTATTCCCCCCCCCTCAAAGCAGAGGGGGACGAAATTACCATCGGTGATCGGTTTTGTGGGAATATTGCTCAGTCCTCGGGAGGACGCGTGGTCAATGGTCTAACCGCCAAGGCATGCAAAACGCCTCTGAGTACCTCCGCCCTCCCCCCCCCCCCCCCCCCCCCCCCCCCCCCCCCCCCCCCCCC